TTTTTTTACTGCAAATATCAAACATATATTTGTTTACAAATCATGCACTATGGTAAAGGTGTTTTAAGGTCATAGTATTGTGCAAGGCACAGCACATAAACAAGTCTGTATGCAAAAATGTAGAGGTTAGAGGCACATTTTTTTCCACATTTTTTCCTGCCTGTGATTTTATTACATATGGCCATTACCCTTGGCCTTTCCATGTTTTATATGTCAGCCAGACATCCTGCAGGTCTTTGTAGGTACATGCAGAATATAAAGAATATACTCTATACTCTACAAATGGCAGCAATCTAATTCAACGAGCCCCACCTTTGTCCAAATAATTAACCATAGTCCTTCCACCTAGATGCAGTCACACTAAATTTTAAGCATGCAAAATTGCAGAATGATAGACAACAGGATATGATGATATACTCTGGGGCTATGCTTTTAATAAATACTTGTAAATCGTAAAATATATATATATTTTCCCACTTTCCCACAACACTGCAAACCATGGAGCACTGAAGTTTGTATTCTCTGTATCCATCAAGTCAAGAGGTCAATATGTGACATTTAGACCTTCTATTGATCACAAGTCTTTTCACTGCATGCATTTGCTGGTCAGAAATCACAAAATAAGCAGCAAATGACGAAACTTCAAGATTGTATGTCTATGTTCTTGCTTTCCCACACTTAAATCTCTATGAATAGAAGTGGATGGAACACAAAGTTTAATGTGACTATAATTTAATCAACTTAGAACATATCACTGCCCCACGGAGAACTCACCATAGCTAAACTCTCCTCATAACCCACCCTTCATCCTGAAATGAGATCAGTTGATCCGTTGATATATCTTTAAACTGTTTTTGTATATTGATATAAACATTAATAATACTTGAACAGCATTAGCACAATCTGTTTCCTCATCAAATGTCTGAAAGATTTAAATCAACATAGATTTTTTTTACACTTACTCATTCATTGTGGAGTAGCAGATGTTGTTCTGGCCATGTAAACTCAAGTCTATCCTACTGGCATCACAGACAGACAGATGACATCACAGCGAGACTACATGTGTCCCTCAGACTACTCTTTCTCAGCCAGATGGTCCTGACAGCTTGTTCAACGTAGGACTACATGTCTCTGCAATTTAAACTTAAGCCTTGCTTTAGTACAACCATTTATGAGATGAAGCTTCATTTTCTCTGCCGACATTCTTCAAGCTAAATTTAAGCTCTCAGTACAGCTATTATTACAATATAATAACATAACACATGTAATGCAACTAAATATTTTGAATAGTAGATTGTGAAAAACTGTCAATGTTGATTCGAGGAGCTGTCACTTCTGAAGTGTGCTCAATTATTGCTCTGAACAGAGACAAACTGTTCAAAACATTTTGATACACAAAAGCATATTGGTTTAAAAAAAAGTTATTCTAATTGAACAGCCATTTGGGTGAGGGCAGAAGGAAAATAATATGTTAGTGCAACATTCACTTGCATAAATTTGAATATGTGAACACGATTAATTTTATTTATTTATTATTGTTTTTTTTTTTTGTTTGTTTTTTTTTTTTTATCAGCATAGTCACTACATTACAACAATCAACTCTTTACTGTACCACATAATATATAATATAAATCAATAGTACATGAAGACAAAATCTCTTTACTGAAAATGATTTACTGTTTTTTTTTTTTTTGTGATGGTATGTGTCGCTCATTTATAAAACATGAGAGTTGCAGGATAAAACGGCCTCCGGCAGTCAAACCCGTGGCATCCCGAGAGTGGAAGCTGAATGCCTCCCTCTTTGGATTCATCTTCTCTTTTTCCCTGCTAGCCACTGTGTTTTGCAATGCTGCTAAAGTTTTTTGAGCTCTCTGCCTGTCCACAATTCCCTGCACACTAGATCCTCTGGCAGCAAACGACACAAAATGTCCTTTTCATGTTTGGGGGACCTTAGCCTTTGAACGCTCACAGTAAAGTGTCACCTGTTTATTTGGCAGATGCTTTTATCCTAAGTGACTTGCAGTGCTTTTAAGGTATACTTTTTCAGTATGTGTGTTCCTTCGGAATTGACCTATGACCTTGGAGTTGTTAGCACCATACTCTGTGCGCAACCAGTTGGATTCCATTGTATGACATTCTCACCGATAGCAGATCAATTGCATTTAAGGTGCATGTCAGGACTTTTGGGTGACAGTCCATGTTACTGTTCCTAAGTCACCAGCCAATAGGCAGTGTTGTTGTTGAATCCAGCTTATTCAAGGCCTGAGTAGGTTGTGTCCGAATCAAGTCCGAGACCAGAAGAGGGTTGAGGGTTTTCATGACAGATTTATTCAAGCATGCGTTTAATAATTAAGACATCCCTAAGTATGATGCTCTTCTCTAGATTTTAGTTTTATAACTACAACAACTATGCAAAAGCCTTGATTTATATTTATTTAATTTTTAATTTTTAATTTTTTGAGTCCATGAAAAGACCAAGGCCACTACCATATAAATATCTGGTCTGGTCTCAAGTAGCCACTCTGAAAAAAAAGAAGAAACGAAAAGAAATACATTGTTTATGAGAAGAAAAAAAGAAAAAACTATGACCACTACAACAATATTGAATATGTTACAGAGGTCGCAAGAATTGGAAAATATGATTTTTAAATGATAAAAGTTCATGGTGTCAAGTCCAGATTTCTGCATCTTTATTATTTATAAATGTTAACTTTTTTCTTCCCTAATCACAAATTATTATACATAGTTTGCAATATAAAAAAAATAAAAAATAAATAAATAAATTCCACCTATTTAAAAATGTAAATTTAGTTGCTGTCTTAGTTTTTTTTTAAGTATAATCAAATTGGCTGTCCAAGTCATTTTAAAATACATTATAATAAACTAGGTCCTACATTTGCAGAGTTAATTTTAATTTTTTGCCAAAATGTTTCTTCTTTCCAAGACATTTTATGTTCATTTTATCATTATGTGATAAAATTATGATTTTGCCAGAATTGTGGCACAAATATAATTCCATAGAGAAGTGTGTCTCTGCTGTATGGAGTGCATTTCAGTTGGCAATCTCTATCTTGTGTTCATCTTTATGTTTGTTCCTATTTCATCACTTTCTATCCTACAGCCCTTCTTTTTCTCGATGCTGAGGGCAAACTCTGTGTGTGTGCGTGTGTGCATACGTGTGTGGGTGTGTGTACACTGTGGCACTACCCATGATGACTCACACTGCCCTCAGAACAACACTAGTGGAGGCTGTTGTCAACATTGCAGGGGGGGAAATTGCTATGATTTTTTCTTTAAATATTGTATAAGGGGAAAAAAAGAACTGAGAGGGAATGGAGTGAGGACGTCATTTGACTTCATCTCCTCTGAGAATGATCCCTTGGAGACCATGTTTGCTGGGATTTGTTCTGTGGTTCAGTTCTTTGATTATCCTGCTCGTTATAATTTTCCCACAAGTGTCTTTGCTAAATTTCACTGGGATTTCAACAGCTGGTACTTAAGTTCTGAGCTGAAGCAGACAGCACTCTCTCGCCTGTCAAATCCATCCCCCTTCACAGTACACAAATATTTCTGCATGCAATGTAATGAAGGCTACACTAGACAGAAAACCCATCAGTTTTTACTGCAGATGAAACCGCAGAGAGAGCAGAGACAATTGTACCATAAACATCTTTGTTGATGCCCAGATGGCAGTTTTTATTTACATTGCTGAACACTTTAGATGTAAAAAAAAAAGCAAGCTTTTTATTAATTTGTAGAATAATGCTTGTCCGGGAATTTTGCTGTTTTTTTTGGTTTTTTTACAGCATAATTTATTTATTTATTTGTGGGGAGAAAAAAATAAATATTAAGTGGCTCATTTAAGTGGCTATTTAGCTCATGCGAGAAGGACAAAAGGCACCATAAAAGTAGTACATACATGCACTATATCAGTGGTTCTCAAACTTTTTATACCAAGTACCACCTCAGAAATGATTTGTCTCTCCAAGTACCACCATAATCACCATCATTAAAATACAGTCGCGTAGTAAAGCCTAACTATTCAGTTGCAGATCTGCACAGTTCAAAAACGAGGCAGTTTTATTCCTAATAAGAATACCTATTGTTATCAGCTACTTTAACATTGTAAATACACAGTTTAAATATTAACACTGAACCGTGTTTACATACAGGTAAATAAAAAACTTAAATAATGGTTAAATTAAAATGTGTTCTATCTAAAAGTTAAATAAAAACTGTACTGTAATTAAATGTAAAAAAAAGAAGAAGAAAAGGATCAAAACATAAATCAGACAATGTATATGATACATTTACCATTTGGTATCAGTGTACTGGGCTTTGTACAGTATGTAAACCAGGCATTAAAACTTTGAAACCACTTCTTTTTTTCTCACTAAAAACATCTGCAAAATGATATAGAATGGGTATAAATGTGTAAATGCTTTAAACAGAGTTGAGAGTACTACACTCTTATTGGTAGATGAAATAATCAAATTAGCAAAATATTAAATAAATGAACACACAAGAATCAGGGATGTGAAGAACTTTGTAAATGACAGGTGTTTCAATTTGGCGGATATGTGTGTGGCTTGCTGCAAATTCTGTGTGAGGTTGCCATTCATTTACCCCCATAAAAGCTTTTCTTTCTGTCAATTAGTTGCTGCTGAGAGGGTGTGATGGGCAATTTGATTCCCAGGGTGAGGCACAATAGCCAGGCACAGAGCATTCAAATACTTCCTGAAACTAGCAGATTTACAGCAGACGGAATAGTGTTTTAATTACTTCCCTATTATAGATCATCTTTGAGGTCTTACATCAAAATGAAGATTGATTTTTATAAGTGTCATATTCTGAAGATGACTTCATATTTTTTGTTCATTTTAAATTCTACATTTCTGAATGTTATTGACAGATGGAAACGAGAACTATATATATATATATATATATATACACATATAGCTCATTTTGACAGGCTTGAAAAAGATGACTTTTTCTTGCAGATATCCGTGGACTGCAAGTCTTTCTGGACCAGACATCAAGACAGGGTTTGGATGTGTCTCTGCAGCGAGTGGATAGGAACATCAGTGGTGTGTTTTCCAGTTTGTTCACCTCCATGCGCACAGAGGAGCTCAACCGCTACAGGGACACTCTCAGAAGGGCTATCTTGCTCCTGAGCCCACGCGGAGCACAGGTCTTTATCCATCAGGTATGTGTTTAGCCACTTCTGGCAACTAGTTCCCATGCGAATGGTGTAGTTTCACAAGCTTTCTCAATGCATTATTGATTATCTGAATCTGATCAACCTATGAATCTTGAATCTAATCGATTTGCTGACTACACAATGAGTCACACCCCTACATATGACCACATAATTGCCATAATGCACGCTCATGTACAGTTTCCATAAAGAAAGTCATAACAAATTTGTCAAAGCCAATTCACCCAGTTGTTTGTGACAGATCTGATCCTATTCATGATTTAGCTAAAGATTAATCCTGATTTTCCAAATGGTGTGTGTGGGGTGACATTATTGCAATCTCCCGCCATATGAAATTTTGTCTCTGCCTAGAGTAAAAACCAGCTCATTATGCCCTATACAAAACCTGTCACTTTTGTTGCATCCCTCCGTAAAGGCTGTACAAATGACCTGACAGGCCCGCACACCTTTACTCTCATTATCACAGCATCTTAAGTACACTCCTCCACTGATCTGAGGTCACACACATCCGTTAACTTCACACGTTGGCCTTAACAAGCTCTGTGGGATCTGAACTGGAATCAGTCACTCATGCTGGCGGGATGCCCGTTACTGCCAAGAGCAAGAGCATGGCTTTCTCATGCATATGGATATGCCATAAGACAATGGTCAGCTCCCTGTAATCTCCCCTGCTCGTGGGAAATGTGATTTATATTTGAAATGAGTATCAGCTTTATTAGCCTTTGATGTTGCATCCTTTTAACTGTAAAGATGAACGAAATACAGATTAGACATTGCAATTCGGATTGTTCCACAAATATGATGGGAATTCTTAAAAACAAGAAAGAATCAAGTAAAGAATGAGCTTAGGGAATTTGTAAGTGTGGATGGATGGATGAACAGAACAAAAACCCCAAAATAAACTGACAAATAATTTAACTTTTTAGTGAATTTGAGTAAATTTAGTCAAAAGCATGAGTACTAACAAGTTTTAACCCCAACATGGTTAAATTCTAAATTCAGTTAGAATATATAGCATTTTTAGCCAGTAAAGTTTCAAAGGATAATGCATAAAATTGTACATAATAGTATAAGTTTCAGCTTCCAGTGTATTTCTGAGTGTGTTTTTACCGGTGTGTACTACAGACTGTTGTCATGTTCTCCTGTCATCAGTGACAAGTTGTGCTTCCCAGCCATCAGCACACAGATGCCACTTGAGGTTTTTCCTGTTTGGTTCCTTAGCTGATAACTCACTACTTCAGTTTATCCCACAACAGCACAACACGCGATCTCAGGACAAATAACTCAAAGTTCACTGAGCTCAGTGACTAAGTAAAGAGGCTTATTATCAGTTCAGCTTAGCATCTGGAACACTGATCATAGATTGTTCTGAATCTAAAACTCTTTACATTACCTTTTTTTCTACTGTGGAATGTATTGTGTGAGGCTTCTTTGATGGGGGGATGACACTTTACATTATCACTAGGTGTGAAAATTGCTCTGCTTTTCCTTAATTTTGATCTTGTAAGACCAATGGAAGATTGTTCTTAATGTGGGACTGCATTTCAGTACTATCCATTACATTAAGGGTAGTACCATTACGTCCTATCCATTTCAGTGGATAGGTAGATAGAAATGCATTCACTGCCGCTGATAGCAGACTCTTTGGAAAAACAAGCCTGGATGTGGCAACATTTCTTTAAAATTCTATTACATGTATTCTTGCACGTTTCATGGCACTTTCAAAGTGAAATGCTCAGTAAGTGGCATGAAAAGCTTGTTCAGCTTGTTTTTTCTGTAACTAATGAAACTAATATATGTGAATCTGGCAATGTTTTATTACATTGGTTGTGTATATATCTTAGCAGTTCAGAAGTGAAATGTTCAGTGAGTGGGTCTAAAAGGTTAATGCTCTATAATGTACCAACAGCACTAAAACTATCAGATAGCATTAACAAAAGCAAAGGTGATATAAAAACACATTCGCTGAAGCAACCATGCCATTTAACTTAACTTCTAAAAGTCTTTGAACTCTTTTACTGACTCATACCCAAGCACTCAGCGTCACAAGTGCAATGCACTACTTAGGTGAGTAACCTATGTCAGAAAACTCATATTGAGCTGATTAAATGATGCTTAACATCAGTTCCATCACAAGATGTTTTAAGGTCATAATGTAGTATTGTGCAAAGAAACCACACAAAAATAAGATTTATTAAATCAACACACTGCCCCTGTAATCATATGAAAGATTAAAAGGAGAAAATAAATGTGTTGTACTGCCACTAGTGTTTATTTTAGCTGGAAACTGCATGCATACACATTAAAAATGTACAAAATCACAAATACTTTGATCAAAATAATACACAAATAATGGTGTGAGAAATGTATGCATAAATGTATGTTTGGTATACGCTATTATATTTCAGTGTTGTCTTTCTGTGTTTCTTGGAGAATATTGTAGTCTATGAAAACAGAGTAAACCAATATTTTCATTGTGGTTAGCCGAAATGAAAGTTTCTTTTATTAACGCATATTGGGATGAGCTCCAATTGTACAGTTTCCACTGATACATGTACATTAAGGTTCCATGACTACATACATGACTGTAATGTATTAATTTGCATTTAGTTTGTAGCTCTGTTTTGTTCCTGTTCCCTGTTTCCCCACGTTAGTCCCTGATTGTCTGTAAAAATGTGTGATATTAGTCAGTCCTTTTTCTAGTGTTCTTTATCAAGTCTTTCAAGGTGAGCTCAGATCTGTTAGGATCCTATTTTCCATTGTTTCTGAGTTCTTGGCATTACAGCAACATGTTGAATAGGGAACAGTTCTGCAAAATTCTTATCTAGGATTATGCAGAATAAGGATTTATACAACAAAGTTAGTTTACAATGCTCCATTTTATAATGTGAAAACCCCTTGTAGTGGATGAGCTTTTGTGGCTCAGAAATAATCATTGTCCTAAGTGTAAGAAGTCCAAGAAGTTAAAGTCTTTCTTGCATGCGTTTATTCAATAACAATGGCAAATTTGGTTGTAGCTGATTTTGTAATTTCACTGGAAAGATATGCGAGAGCATTTGGACAGGAGAAATTGAACACAATTGTGAAAACTAGGTATAGCATGGCACTGCTTGCCAAATATTTCCGCCCTTTGTCAGCTATGATGGGGTCCGCCACTGACTAGAAAGCAGGATGATGCAGAGACTTTGATCTTTAAATAGGAACTAGTACGCTCATGATGTGAAGCATCTTACAGAAGCACTGTTCCATACACTAGTGAGCTGGGTAACACTTTATTTTAAGGTTTCCTTGTTACGCACGCTGCATGTACTATTATAATAACAATAAATTATGCATAATTACATGCAAGTACCCCTAAACCAAAACCTAATCCTAAACCTAACCATATAGTAAGTGCATGTAGTTAATTTATATTACTCAGTACTTCAATGTACAATTACATTGTAACAAGGACACCTTAAAATAAAGTGTAACTGAGCTGTCTTGTTGTCTGATGTTTTCATAGGGAGCATCTTCAACAGAAATGGGAATTTATAGGTGACTACATAGGGAGCAGATCCATGTGCCACACAAAAGAGGACCCACCTGAGTTGGTCTCTTTTCTGTGGCTTAGCTAATGACATAAAAGCATGCTAAGCTAGTGGCATATGAGATACTGGATACTCATTGAATTATTTTTAATCAATACATTTCCAAATTTATTTTGTCTCAATGAATGTTGGTATGGCCATATCCGCAAACAAAATGTTAGAAATGACTTTATAATACTATTCAACCAATCACAGCTTTCTGATTTTAGAGTTGGGACTATGATTGTTTGATGCAGGATTGTTCCTAGAACTTGCCCTATTTGTGCAAATCACAGTGTGCCAGCATGCTCTGGCTTTTAGGCCTTGTGTTGTGTCTGTATTGTTGTTCCCTGTCATTCCTAAAGGAAGTGGTTTATAGGAAATACTCAAATGACTTGTGTTGCACACAAGAGGTGTAATTTGTGGCACTGCATCATCTGCAGAGGCTGTGCTGACCAATTGAGAGTTGTTAAACTGAAGAGTGGTTAGCCACGGACAGAACGCCTCCCGGGTGCCTGGACATACTGATGACAAATCTATCTATCTATCTATCTATCTATCTATCTATCTATCTATCTATCTATCTATCTATCTATCTATCTATCTATCTATCTATCTATCTATCTGTCTATCTGTCTGTCTGTCTGTCTCTCTCATCTTATGGTTTATGGTTGGAGATCAGGGCCCGTATTCACAAAACATTTTATCTCACCACTGAGAGTTCTCCTAAATAGCAGTAAACGTTTTTAGCTAAGAGTTTTTTCTTAAAACCTGTTCACAAAGCTGCTGAGACAAACTTTTACTAAGGAATAGAGAGAAGTCTTAAGCTAAGAGCAAGGGCGGGGTTGACCTTGTTGCTATGGATGATGTCAGCATGCTTACTAACTATGCACACACTGATTGGCTGATAGGGGAGGGGTCTCTGTCAAGAGATTTATTCATAGAGATATTGTAGAGCATGATGTTGTCATATATAAAGGATTCAAAATTTAAATGTTGCTACATTCAAATAAAGATTTAAAAATGCAGGCTAAGTGTCACTAATTAAACAAGTATATGTTCAACTAATTGTCAGCCTCTTACATGTATGCTTCTCGTAAACAATTCGAGAATATGTATATAAACAGCCTTTTAATTAACAGAGTAGAATAATCATGGCTGATAGTAATACATGCAAAAAAAAACTCGACTTAATCCACTTCAAAGCGTAGGCGTGTCTCGTAGACGGTGCTCTCGCTGAAGTTATGGTGTCGACTACCTCTTGGGGTAGGCCACTTAGAACCTCCTCGTCCCATCCAGAGACCAGAAATGAAGTTTCCAGAGGTCTGGACGCGGGTGCCAAAGGGTGCCCCGTCTCTGAGTCAGTAAATCCTTCCTCAGAGGAATCGGCCAAGGAGGGGCTATCGCGAGGAGCATCAG